TTCCCCACACAGTGCTGGTGACAGAGAATAGCAAAGGTAGAGATTAGTCTCAATAACTCAAGCAACAGTGTTTTGTAAGCCGCCATGTTTGTTGTTGTTTTCTATGTAGGACGGTCCTAATTAGAACACTGTACTTGGCTAATGAGCTTTCTCTCCCCTGAAGCCAATAAGGTAGTTCTGTTTTTTATTTTTAATGCATTTGCTAACATTTCTAAAAACCTGTTTTCACTTTGTCATTATGGGGTATTGTGTGTAGATTGATGAGGAAAAATAATAATTTAATCAATTTTATAATAAGGCTGTAACGTAACAAAATATGGAAATAGGGGTCTGAATACTTTCCGAATGCACTGTATGAACATACAGTTTGACTCATTTCACATATGTACATACTTCCACCTACACTGCCTGCTGAGTGATCATACATGGCTGAATGCAAGAAATTAAGAATTCAACATGGCTCTCAAGTGTTATACGTCGTCTACCTCTGTGTTTCTGTCTGTTCTTGTGTAGCAGGGAGGGAGACATACACACACACACTGTAGGGAGGGACCACACATATCTGAGCTGCCTGTCCGTGAAATGGAGACGGATTGATTAGTCTTCTTGGCAGTGCCGGTGTCATTCACACTGTCCTTTAAGAAAGACCAGGGTTAGTTGGCTCTGCTGAGGAGGCTGCTCTCCCTCTCCTGGCAACAACAACACAAGGCTACTCATCTCATCATACTGATACCCTTTCACACTACTGAGCCAAACTGAGCTGTACTGGGCTGGTCTGCTTATGCATCCACCGTAGTTGCTGAAACCAAACAATGTAAAAAATTAAAACTTACAATTGTAAGGCAACCAGCTGCAATAGGATTGTGCAATAGGATTGTGAGATTGCTCAGCAAAAATGTTATTGAGCAAACTCACAACAAAAAGTTTGTGTGTGAACATTTTGTTGAGGAAACTCACAATCCTATTGCAGCTGGTTGCCTTACATTTGTACGTTGAATCAACATCTTGTTCACTTCATTGTCAAATGTCATACACAACCCTGGAGGGACCTGCTACTAGGAGGCTATTATTAACAGCATCATATCTTTATTCTGCCTCATTGAGTAATGTCTCTACAGCACATTAGGCTTTGATGGACAAATTATGGTTTTGTTATTAGATATATATGTTTTATGTATGTAATATACAGGGAATTGTCATATTATGGTCCTCAATGTATACACACATGCACGTACACCACACACACACACACAAACACACACACACCGACAGTCAAGTTGTTGCAGTAACATCTTCCCCCTACCAACTGGAGAAAGTGCCTCTGTGCTTCTCTATCCATCACATAAAATTCCCATAAACTGACTGTAGACCTCCAATCATGCTTTACATTTTCAGATGATGACAGGAGCCTCACCCAGGACTGTGAGACAGTGTTAGTTCCCATTCCAGGCTTAGAAACAGGCAGTAGGGCCAGGGGAGTCCCGGGGCGGGAGGGTCACACTGCACACACTAATGAGCTCCACAGTCTCAGTCAGATCAGAGCTGGTGTGTGTCTGTGTGATCCCTGCCTCTCCCTGCCAGCCATCACTTATCAAAAATATCTACAGGAGAACTCGCATGGAAAATACAGTAGCTGGCTACCACAGAATCCTTTGCCTCTACTTATAATTAATTCAGATGAGGTTCTTTTGTCTGTCTAATTTAAGAATTTAAGATATGGCATAAAACTGCAGCCGTTGAGATACAGTATGTAGATTTGAAATTAGTTTTATTGTCTTATTTGAAAGAGGAAATGTGAAAGGTATGGGATAGATGGAGGACAGTGTTTTGAAAGGATATAGCTGAATATGACCAAGTTTTTTTGCATAGTTTTAGAACAATCTTCACTTTTTACTTTCCTTGTCAAGGTTAAAGATGAGGCCTACTCTTTTTCACACCATGTTTTAAAATGAAATCCCCAAAATGAGCCAGATTTCTATAATAAAGGTTTGGTTGTTTTAGATGCGGAGATATCAAACGATATCGAATTAGTGGGTGTGTCAATGTGTATAAGAAAGAAGGAGAGAAAACAATATAGGCCATGGTACTATTTATTCAGTCCTGTCAGAGTGTCCGTTTTGAAGTACTTGTCAAAGCAGACAGAACCTGGGGCCAAGACAGAGCAAGAGCTCTCGCTATCAAGGTAACATAAATATCCTGCCACCCTTCATGGATCATTCCTCCACAGACACCTCACTTTGTTAGCTTGCCATGGAATAAAATATGTCAATGGAGATGATCCCAATACTTTTCACAAGTGAAACATACATTTAAGAACTCATTTGAAAAGCATATTTCTAGTACCGTTGGACCTGTATTGATGTGTGGTCCTCTGTAGCTCAGCTGGTAGAGCACGGCGCTTGTAACGCCAAGGTAGTGGGTTCGATCCCCGGGACCACCCATACACAAAAAAAAAAAAAAAAAAAAAATTGATGCACGCATGACTGTAAGTCGCTTTGGATAAAAGCGTCTGCTAAATGGCAAAAAAATAAATAAAACAAATGTGCTTCACCAGTTACTGTGGATAGAAGTATGGCGTTTGTCTCTGTGATGTATAGTCAGAACAGATACGACCTCTTCCTCTCAGCCTCCCCGATGCGCCCCTGGTCTGGTCTGGACCTCGGCGCGATGCTTCCCCTCTCCTTCCTCCCACGATGCACCAAGCCCTGTCTGGACCCTGGTGTGGGAGACCCCGAACCTGGAGAGGGGCTGACGTCTGCGCCTGGATCGGCAATCCTCCCGCGATGCACCAAACCCTGTCTGGACCCTGGTGTGGGAGACCCCGAACCTGGAGAGGGGCTGACGTCTGGGTCTGGACTGGTGCCGCTGACCGGAGCTAAACTGGAAACCGGTGGAGCGGACTGCTTTGGCTCCGGAATGGATCCGTTGACCGGGGCTGGATTAGGCACCGGTGGAGCGGACTGCTGGCTCCGGAGTGGAGCCGCTGACCGGAGCTGGACTGGAAACCGGTGGAGCGGACTGCTCTGGCTCCGGAGTGGAGCCGCTGATCAGTGCTGGACCAGGCCCCCGGTGGCACGGGCCGTGCCGGACTGGGAACACGCACCACTGGCTTGGTGCGAGGGGCCGGGCCGGACTGGGAACACACACCACTGGCTTGGTGCGGGGAGCAGGTACGGGGCGTACCGGGCTGGCGACACACAACACTGGTTTGGTGCGAGGAGCAGGGACAGGCGTACCGGGCTGGCGACATGCACCACTGGTTTGGTGCGAGGAGCAGGGACGGGCCGTACTGGACTGGGAACACGCACCACTGGCCTGGTGCGGGGAGCAGTTACGGGGCGTACCGGGATGGCGACAAGCACCACTGGTTTGGTGCAGGGACAGGCATACCGGGCTGGCGACACGCACCACTGGTTTGGTGCGAGGAGCAGGGACGGGCCGTACTGGACTGGGAACACGCACCACTGGCCTGGTGCGGGGAGCAGGTACGGGGCGTACCGGGCTGGCGACACGCACCACTGGTTTGGTGCGAGGAGCAGGGACAGGCGTACCGGGCTGGCGACACGCAACACTGGTTTGGTGCGAGGAGCAGGCACGGGCCGTACCGGACTGGGAACACGCACAACTAGCTTGGTGCGAGACGCAGGCACGAGGTGTACCGGACTGGGAACTGTCGTTAGAGATCTCCGACTGTACCAGTCTTTTACTCTCCGCGCCCAGTCCTCCTCCAGTAAGGACTCCTCCTTGAGCCCCCACGAGTGCAGTGGTCGGGGCTCTTCTCTATCGATCCCCGACCAACCTTTTAGCCCCCCCCAAAAAAAATTATTGGGGCTGTCCCGCAAGCTTCCTCCTCGGCCGACGCCTTCTGTGTTCCTCTCCCGTCTGGGCCTCCTCCTTTGCCCAGGGTCCTTTTCCTGCCAAAATCTCCTCCCATGTCCAAAAACTCTTCCCCACCTGTGTCCAGGGTGTCTGCTGCTCCTGGGCACGCTGCTTGGTCCGTTTTTGGTGGGATCTTCTGTCACGATCGTTGAGAGACGGGTCAGACCAAGGTGCAGCGTGGTATGCGAACATTCTCCCAATCCTCTTCTGGATCATCCAAATGCACTCTAGCAAACTTCAGACGGGCCTGGACATGTACTGGCTTAAGCAGGGGGACACGTCTGGCACTGCAGGATTTGAGTCCCTGGCGGCGTAGTGTATTACTGATGGTAGGCTTTGTTACTTTGGTCCCAGCTCTCTGCAGGTCATTCACTAGGTCCCCCCGTGTGGTTCTGGGATTTTTGCTCACCGTTCTTGTGATCATTTTGACCCCACGGGGTGAGATCTTGCGTGGAGCCCCAGATCGAGGGAGATTATCAGTGGTCTTGTATGTCTTCCATTTCCTAATAATTGCTCCCACCGTTGATTTCTTCAAACCAAGCTGCTTACCTATTGCAGATTCAGTCTTCCCAGCCTGGTGCAGGTCTACAATTTTGTTTCTGGTGTCCTTTGACAGCTCTTTGGTCTTGGCCATAGTGGAGTTTGGAGTGTGACTGTTTGAGGTTGTGGACAGGTGTCTTTTATACTGATAACAAGTTCAAACAGGTGCCATTAATACAGGTAACGAGTGGAGGACAGAGGAGCCTCTTAAAGAAGAAGTTACAGGTCTGTGAGAGCCAGAAATCTTGCTTGTTTGTAGGTGACCAAATACTTATTTTCCACCATAATTTGCAAATAAATTCATTAAAAATCCTACAATGTGATTTTCTGGATTTTTTTCCCCTCAATTCGTCTGTCATAGTTGACGTGTACCTATGATGAAAATTACAGGCCTCTCTCATCTTTTTAAGTGGGAGAACTTGCACAATTGGTGGCTGACTAAATACTTTTTTTCCCCACTGTACATTCATACTTTGATATGTTGTAACTCTATGACATACTGTGCATGTTTGTTTATGTGTGTGTGTTAAATATCCTACTGCCTCACAAGTACTGTATCTCTCCCATGGTTCCCCACAGTGTCATCATGCATCACCACCTATAAGAAGACCCCACCCCCGGTGCCGCCTCGCACCACCACCTCCAAACCCTTCATCTCTATCACAGCCCAGAGCAGCACCGAGTCAGCCCAGGATGCCTACATGGATGGCCATGGCCAGGGGAACAGGGACAGCCACCCCCGGGGAGACATGACCGTCCAGTCAGCCCTGTCCAACTCCACGGAGAGCATCGACAGCATGAAGGCCCTGACGGCAGCCATCGAAGCGGCCAACGCCCAGGTCCACGGCCCCGCCAGTCAGCATGTCTCAAACAGCAGCATAACCATCACCACCACCTCTGCCCTGGCCCAGATCACTGAGGACAGCAGGAAGGAGCAGGCCAGGAGGGCCAAGTGCCAGCTGTCCATCGGCATCCAGGTCTGTGGTAGACACTACCTCACAACAACTTTTGAGGTGTCCTTTGACATTTAGTTTGATCTGATATGGGAATAATAAGAAATGTATTAGGTGAAACAAGAGCCAGGTTTTGAGAGACTGGATCCCCATCCCCTTTCTGAGTTGACAGGATGTGGTTCTACTTTTGCTCTATACTGTTCTCTAGTGGCAGATGTTTACATTTACTTCAGCCTGGTGTTCTGTATATCAGTTTCCCAACTCCTGTCCTCCATTACCACCGACCAGCACACATTTATGTTGTAGCCCTTGACAAACATGCCTGATTCAATTAATCCAGGGTTTGATGATTAGTTGACAAGTTGAATCTGGTGTGCTTGTTGAGGGCTACAATAAAAATGTGTACTGTTGGGGGTACTGGAGGACTGGAGTTGGGAAACTGCGTGTATATTGTAGTGACTGAGAGATAAATCTATATTTTATCGTTCAATTTCTTTCTTTGATGATTTTATTTCCAGGTGGACGGGCCAGAAGAGGAAGCTTTGGAGATGGAGGACCAGTTCAAGTTCCAATCAATTGGGGTCCAGGTGGAGGACGAGAGGGGGTGAGTCTCTGCCTCTTTGTCTCTGTCTCTCTCTCTCTCTCTCTGTCACCCTCTCCCTGTCTCTCTCGCTCTCTTCTCTCCCCTCTCTCTCAGTCAGATCAGAATGTCAGTCGCTCACTGTTTCTTGCCTTCATGACCTTTTGTGTGAAAGTCCAGAGAAAGGCATCCATTTACAAATGAAGGCCGTTACCAAGGGAGTCATGAGGGATGCTGGGGGAAGAAGACTGAGCCTAGGGTTGTGAATGCAGTGGAACAGTTGTGCTAGTGAAACGGACAGTTGTGTTTGTCTGTTGGCCTCGCCGGTGACACCTCTTCAGTGACTTCAGCTGTGTCCTCTCCAGCTAACCTGCGACTGCAGTCTGACAAGGCAAACCAAACGCCTACACTCTGTACACTTTTTTTTTCTATGCCGGAGATAGAAGTTAGAGAAATAATCCTGGTAGACTTGCTGCAGCTGGTGTCTCAACTTCTGTTAATGAGGATCACTGACCGCCCACTACAGCAGCCTAGTCATACTAAAGACTGTGGGAGTTTTAATATGAATCAGAGTGAAATTATTCACGTTATAAACCTTATTGTATATTTCTTCCTGGTTCCTACGTGTGTTCTGCTCCACCCTATGCGTTGTACAGGACAAATATAGCATCAATAGTCATCGGCATTGTAAGGCTGTTCTTGGACAGCTCTGCTGTGTGTCTATAGTGTAGGGCGCTCGCTCTAAAGGAATGGTCATGGTGGGTGGTGTTTCACAGTAGTAGCCTGCTCCATGATGACTGCAGCCTAGGGCCTCTTCCCTTCCCTTCCCTCACTCTGTGTCTCTGTGCACCTCCCACACTACCTCTCTATGTGGGATGTTCATTCATGGTGCAATGGATTGGCTCAAAATGTGGTAAAATACACCTTCCATCCATCAGAATGGATTAAATTCAGGGCCTGAGGTTTTTCTGACCACATGATCTGACCCGGAAAAACTCTGGCCCTATATAGGCTTAAACTGGGGTTCAGAGTTTTTCCTGGTCAGGTCACCTCAGACTGGGCACTGATGTCTGTCTCCCCCTGTTGGCAGATACCGGCGGCTCACCCGCTCCAACAGTGTAACAGCCGCAGTACAGGCTGACCTGGACATGCCTGACATGTTAGACAGCCCCCTGGACTCCCCAGAGACAGACCTGCCCTCCTCAGTCTCTGTGTCACACCAGTACTCCCGCGACGCCGCCACCTCGCCAGCCTCCACCGTCAGCATCCAGGGCTCGGGGAACCACTACCACGCCTGTAACTCAGACGACTACGATGACGTGGGCTTCGACCCATCCATCCTGCCCCCGCCCGATCCATGGATCGACAGCTTGACCGAAGACCCCCTGGAGGTGGTCCAGAGGTCCGTGTGTCAGCGGGACGGGCGCTGGTTCCTCAAGCTGCTGCAGGCTGAGACAGACCGCATGGAGGGCTGGTGCAGACAGATGGAGCAGGACGAACAGGAGAACGACCTGCCTGATGACGGTGAGTCTGGCCGGTCCAAAGGCACTTATACCACTACCTATCACAAGTGTGTGTGTGTGTGTCAGTGGAGGCTGGTGCTGCGTACTTGTGCGTAATTGTACCTGTGATAGGTACAATTAGGTGGACTCATTCCAGCCATTACACTGAGCCAGTCCTCTGAGTTCTTCCTCCAACAGCCTCCACTGGTGTGTGTGTGTGTGTGCTATCTGATCTGTGTTTACATTGTCTTCCTCTCCATAGTCTTGGGGAAAATAAGGCTTGCTGTGGGAAGTGCTCAGCTCCTGATGTCACAGAAATTCCAGCAGTTCCGGGAGCTTTGTGAGGAGAATCTGGTGGGTGACTTTTCTAGTTCTCCAGCTTCCTTTGTCCCACTCCCCCTGTTCTTCACATTAAAGCTGAGATAAAACTATGTTTTGTTCTTCCCCTCTTTACTGATCTGTGATCAGAAGCCCAATGCCCACCCGCGGCCCATCTCTCAGGACCTGGCTGGTTTCTGGGACATGCTCCAGCTGTCCATTGAGAACATCAGCCTGAAGTTTGACGAACTGCACCAGCTGAAGGCCAACAACTGGAGGCCCCTGGACCCCCCGGAGAGAAAGGTAAAACAGGCGTCCAGGACCAGCTAGTGTCTGTTTGTGTATGACACAGAGTACATCATGATACCGACCGGCCGAGACATACTCATCATGCCGAAACAAATCAGTAGCTTTCTAACTCATTGCATGATCTAGTATCGCTGTTGTAACTTCATAATTATTATTTATTAACATACTGTATCAATGTTTTTGGGGGGTTTGGCAACAACTGACTTTTGTCTAGATGGTGAGGGTTTATTAGATGTGCCCAATACCTTATTAAGTGCTTTACATGGCATGAGTCACACATTACAACATATACACCATCAATAGTTTTATACACAATCCTATTTTAACACAGTGAAAAACCTCACACCCAAAAGTTGTTGAATGTTGCCGTTTTCCTGTCATGTGTTGTATTAAAGTCAGTAGAGTTGTTTTTACTGTTCTGTATCATGGCTGTTGCATTTTATACTCTTGATTTTCTGACCGCTTCTCCATGTTTTTGTTTTGTTGTTCTTGTCGACAGTGAGCTGGTTTTGAGAAGTCATTCCATCTGGCACGCACCACGAGGCCTGACCTCGCTGGGCCACCGTACCTCATGCAGTCGCTGCATCGCGTGTGGTTGTCTCTCTGTAGCGCTAGCCGTGTGCTGCAATAGGTGTGTGAATGCTGTCTGCGCTCCTGGGAGGTGGCTAACTGACTATTTGTCATCCCTGTTCAGGAGAGACGGATCCCTCCTCCTGTGCCAAAGAAACCCCCAAAATGTCAGCCTCCCCTGGCCCGAGATAGGTCCCTGGAGAGCTCCGAGAAGCAGAGGCTGGATGCACGAAAGCGCTTGATGGCTGCCAAGCGAGCTGCGTCGGTGAGGCAGAACTCAGCCACCGAGAGCGCAGACAGCATCGAGATCTATATCCCCGAGGCCCAAACCAGGCTATGAGCCCTGTGGCAGGCACACCTTCACCACTACACACACACTCTGGCTCACACACACACACAGATTAACTTACAGTACACCTCACACACCGCTAGAACACAAACACACAGGTAAACACACATAAGCTTTTAACAGTATGGTTCCTGTGGGCAAAAACACAGAGACCTACTCCCACTGATAGGTAAGTGCAGGGTGTTTGTAATATAGTCACACTATTTTCTCTGTAGTGGGAAGAGAAATGCCACCGGTATAGTTGTTTCTCTTACATATTATTATCTGTCTCTCACAAATTTGATCCTGGTCTTGTTTCCATCTATGTAACATAGATCCTCGCCTGAAGATGACCGCTTCGTGATCCTTCTTTTAAAAAGTTGAGCACTTTTACCCACACCTGTGTAACATCCACCATGATCTTGCGAAATGTATAGTGTTCTTATTCAATGTAGACAGCTGTTGATATCTTAACAGAAAGCAAACATAATTATGTTTGAACATTTGGTTTCTTTAGCTCTTTGTACTTTCACCTAAGCATGGGCCAAACAGAATCCCTTGCTTCATGTCCCATTCAACCCTCAATCTTTTTTCTTTGATTGTAACATAATTGGCAAATGAACAGGGTATATTATGCTTAAGAAATATTTGTTTGAAATCAGATCAAGTAAATGTGTAAAACAACTGATCACTTTGGTTTTGAAATCCCATCTGTAAAGATCAGAGATTTGAGACAAAAAGGATGCCTTTATATTTCTGTAGCCGATTCTGTTGGTTTATTATGCTGAAGCTGTCTATTGTTAAGACATAGTTGCTTATTCTAGAGAAATATCTGTTTAAACTTTTTAGTAATTCTTGGTACAAGGACAACTATAGACAATATTCTTTGATATATGTTCTTAACTAAACCTGCTTTCCATTTTGTAAAGTCTGATGGGTGTCTAAAGTTGATTTATGACAACTGAGGATCTTTGCGATGATGAGCCACCCAATATGAAATACCCTAAAAACAGAGGTACACTAAGAATGCAAGTAGTTTTATTCCTTAACAATGTTTTTCCAGTAGCAAGTTCAGTGGTTTATTTTTATTAGTAAACTGTTTCTGGGTATATTAGTTAAATCTCAAGTGGGCCAGTGTGATGCTCCTGGAAGGCCATGTGACTGTCTCTGTCATGTGGTTCAGCAGGCTTAGCTCTGTGTTATTTCTCAGGAAGAGATGGAAATTCAGTCTGTCAAATCAGGGTCTCCTAGTGCTGGTGGTCTGTGTGTGTGTTATTGACATGTGCGTGTGTTTGTGCGTGCGTGCCGGTTTGTGGGTGTGCGTGTCGTTTTGTGTGCATCAGTGTTTAGAGGTGAGTGTGTGTGTGTGTGGATGTGGGTCTCTTAAAGTGCTTCCTGATTTCCTCGGTTGACATGTTGGCCTTTCTTCAATACGGTCAAGTAGCCTCATGAACATAACTGTACATAGTCAAAACGCCACTTGTACTTGAAAATAACAATTTGTGTGTTTGTACAGAAATGATACATGAGGGTGTTCCAGTAAGCATGCAGACACAATATTAGTATTACAACATCTATACCTAAATTATTTGTTTATTTATTGAACTATTTATTTATTGATGATTTAGTTTTTTTTTACTGTTTCTGTTCAGTGGTCTGTCATGCTACTCTGATCGTATGTTGTATTGTATAGAGATTATATGTGCATACATATGATAAACACAGAATAAAATCATTATGAACACTGTTCTTGGTCTTGACCAGTATTTATTTACACCGACTGATTCAATTTTTCGTCAACCTGATGTACTTTTCCTATCTTGACCACTGGGTGGCACTGATGTGTTTTGAGATATTTTCTTCAATGTGATGCCTCAGCATTTATGATCCACTATTGGACAAAAAAACTGAAATACCTTTTATAGATAAAAAAAATATATGCCCAAAATGTGGATCCACTAAGGAGGAAAAGGGATGCATGCTTTTGTCTTGACATGCAAACAGGTGTGTAATGCCTACACATTATGATAATATCCGTGTTGGCCACCATGAGTTCTCAATGGCAGGAAACAACAGTGGCTTGTTCCTAGAAAACATAACAGAATGTTCAGATTAAAATGTATTGCGTAGAACAGACACAGGCCTACTTTTCTGTTATGAAGCCGACACTCTTAGAAAAAAAGGCTATTCGTTTGTCCTTATAGGATAACCCTTTTTGGTTCCAGGTAGAACACTTTGGTGGTGAAAAAGGTTATACTTAGAAGCTTGTATTAGTGAAAGGGTTCCACTTGGAACCAAAAATAGTTATTTTAGAGGGTTATATGGGGACAATCGAAGAACCCTTTATGGTTCTAGGTAGCACCTTGTTTTCTAAGAGTGTAGACTAGAGTAAAAATCGTCAGCCTTCACATTAGATTTCTATCTGCAACTTTACTAGGTGCACCCCATTAATGGCTTACTACATGTTGATTTAAATTACTTCATCCAAAGGAACAAAGCAACAAAACGATATGTTTGTGTAAAACTTAAATTGCATGATTTGTCAATAATTAATATTCAGATATCCATATGAACATATCACAACTTGCCTGTCAAGATAGGGGAGAGCAGATGGGTTAAATTTCACATCAGGGGTCAATTTTTCCAAATGTTTTATTTAGGTTAAAATAACCTTGTGCTGTGTTAAATTACACGACATGGCCAAAAGTATGCGGACACTGGCTTGTCGAACATCTCATTCCAAAGTCGTAGCCATTAATATGTAGTTGGTCCCCCCTTTGCTGCTATAACTGCTTCCACTCTTCTGAGAAGGCTTTCCACTTGATGTTGGAACACTGCTGCGGGGACTTACTTCCATTCAGCCACAAGAGCATTAGTGAGGTCGGGCGCTGATGTTGGGCGATTAGGCCTGGCTAATGGCGTTCCAATTCATCCCAAAGGTGTTCGATGGGGTTGAGGTCAGGGCTTTATGCAGGGCAGTCAAGTTCTTCCACACTAATCATGCTGAAACAGGAAAGGGCCTTCCCCAAACTGTTGCCACAAAGTTGGAAGCATGGAGTCGTCTCGAATGTCATTGTATGCTGTAGCATTAAGAATTCCCTTCACTGGAACTAAGGGGCCTAGCCCGAATCATGAAAAACAGCCCCAGACCATTATTCCTCCTCCACCAAACGTTACAGTTGGCACTATGCATTCGGGCAGGTAGGGTTCTCCTGGCATCCACCAAATCCAGATTCGACCGTTGGACTGCCAGATGGTGAAGCGTGATTCATCACTCCAGAGAACGCGTTTCCACTGCGCCAGAGTCCAATGGCGGCGAGCTTTACACCACTCCAGCCGACGCTTGGCATTGCGCATTGTGATCTTAGGCTTGTGTGCGGCTGCTCGGCCATGGAAACCCATTTAATGAAGCTCCCGACTAACAGTTATTGTTCTGACGTTGCTTCCAGAGGCAGTTTGGAACTCGGTAGTGAGTATTGCAACTGAGGACAGACGACTTTTACACGCTACGCGCTTCAATGGTCCCGTTCTGTGAGCTTGTGTGGCCTACCACTTCGCGGCTGAGCCGGTGTTGCTCCTAGACGTTTCCACTTCACAATAACAGCACTTACAGTTGACTCTAGCAGGACAGAAATTTGACGAACTGACTTGTTGGAAAGGTGGCATCCTATGACGGTGCCACGTTGAAAGTCACTGAGCTTTTCAGTATGGGCTATTCTACTGCCAATGTTTGTCTATGGAGATTGCATGGCGGTGTGCTCGATTGTATACACCTGTCAGCAACGGGTGTGGCTGAAATAGCCAAATCCAATCATTTGAAGGGGTGTCCACATACTTTTGGCCATGTAGTGTACAGTATGTTGTTCACGCCTTGCTTTTTGACAACATTTTGAGAGAAATTCAAGTTAATTGTCTTCCGATGATACCACATCATATGCTATTACAATCAAGATCATGCTAATGATCCCATGACATTTGGTTGAAATATTAATTAACTTTCCGTTTCCATTTTAACAAGGAGGCTGAACAGAGGTTATTGGGGAACAGAATCTAAAACAACACAGGATTATTTTGATCTGGATTAAAACCTGCCCAAGGGCAACCTGAAACTCAACAGTGCTGGGTCTGGTCCATCCCTAGATCGGAGACCAGATGCTGCTGGGTATTGGTATTGGTATTGGAGGGCCAGTAGGGTGCACTTATCTCTCTACACCAACACCCCAGGCCGTGTTGAGGGTTCTGTACTGATCCTCTGTGGTCACTAAAAACTCTAATCCGACACTAATCCCAAGAGTTAGTGATTTAACCCCAGTGTCCTGGCTAGATTCTCAACATGACTGCTCATATTGTGCTCTAATTCCCAGTTAGAAGGCTAATTGCGTCATTCAAATGGTCTACTCTACCCTTCAACTTTTCTTTAGGTTGTTGCTGTAAAATGTGTCAATTTACCTGAAGGGAAGTGAAAATGATAGGTTGATAATAGTGTTACAACAACCTGCGCAAGATTCTATCAAATAATAGCCAATGCAAAATGTATTTATTTGTAGATCCCATTTTCCACACAAAATGTGCATAACATACCGTATCTGGCAAAATAATCATATTCCAAATTAATTAAAAGCCAGTTTGAAAAGTTTTAAATTATGAAGGAGGCAATTGAAGCTGTCTCCTTGTGCAGGTGAGACATTACGTTTTTTTTTGTCCCAGCAGCTCATATGTTTAGCCTATGTCACATCTGATTTAACTAATCAACTTAAAATGTGGTTAATAACTAATCAACTTAAAATGTGGTTAATGGACATATGTGTTTATTTTGCCTGGATGTCTCTCGATCTGTCTGTCTGATGCTGTGATTGAGCTCTTACATTTTGGGAGAGAGATGGTAAACCTACAGGTTAACACAGGTCACCAGATTACCGTCCTAAAGCCCAGTGTTGATGTACCATGTATCAAATGGTTACCCATATGTCGAGGTAGTTCTTCACTTTTCATTTAATGCCCATTGACTAAATTGCTATAGCTTGGCTACTTATAAAACAGACCGACAGATTTGTTGCAAACGAGACCAACCCAGACAGGAAGCACCAGGTTTCCCGCGTTGTATTAAAAGATTTGTAGGACGCTACCCTAATCTCTCCCTGCGTGAAACAGCCATAACCGCCCCAGGGCTCTGGTCAGAGACTTTCAGATTAGCGCAGAAAAATCAATTAGGCCAAGGAATAGTAAATCAATAATCTTCCTTAATCTCTTTGAGGATATATTTATGTTTTACTTAAGTAATTTTTATGTTAATATTTGGTCGACTGAAGAAGGGTGTGTGGGTTGAAGGGGACATTGGGGAGCTTTGATTGGTGGGTCATTTTGCTGCCTGTTAAAGTCCCTGGATTAAATGTTTAATTAATTGATTGAATCATAGACTAATCATCCGATTTGTTGGAAATTATCAGAATAATGATCATCTACACTACATCATAGAAACAAGTCTTTGCTCTGCGTTCTGTGCCTATCATAAGCCTTCAAACATTTAGTTAACAAGTTAGTCATGCTGCACTTGGTGTGCAGAGAACGCCTTAAACCGAATATGTCAGTGGAAAATTGGAAGACAATATCTTAAACAAGACATTATTTTAAGAACGTTGTGTGCATTCATTGCTATCAATGACTCAAGTCTCTTCAGACCCCATGAGCACCGTTCTAATTTGTCTGGCAATCTGGAGAGCTAGCGCCCCGCGTGCTATTTCAGTGGCTAGGGCGCATGTGGTGGGATTCCCAGGGAATCCCCAGTGTTCGGCATCTTGCGCATCCAGCTCTCTCTGACATCTGACCTCCTCAATCAGGCCATGAAAACGCATGGTTGTGGTAGTCAATGGCACTTTACCAGCAAGCTTTTCAGGTACCAGGTCACTAAAAATGTGAGATGAAAAGAAAAGCGTGCGAGTAGAATAAAAGCAACTGCATGGCACAAGGCTGGACGTGCGTCTATGGTGCGGGGGCTGACTTCAGCACCACAGGACATCCTATGGGGCTACATTTGGTAACCTGTGAGTCTTAAAATGGAAATGTGAAAAGGAAAATTATCAACTGTAGCTTGTTGACTCTGTCACCATTCGTTTTGTGTGGACTTGTGATGGTAAAACGCATTAGTATGAATGCACTAGTTACAGGTGCTTTTGGTGATATAGGCTAATGGTCACCTGAGAACGTTCATATTTCAGGCTCATATTGAGCATAAATATTTATAGCACCTTTTCTTAACCCAATGTATACATTGTATCTTGATAATTTGTTGTTTTTATAGACTACATGTGCTCTCCAACGCACTCGTTCCAAGTTCTTTATCTGTTTGAATCCGTTTAGTTTGTCATTTTATCTTGATTTTCTCCAATCCTTTGCACACTCAAGATTACATGGCTTTATCCTGACTCTCCACTGTGAGGATTACGTCCACCATTTGCACTGGAGTAGGCTTTTCACTCTCTAAGAAAGAGATGTTCAATATCATAAAGTTTTTTATGCACAGTAGACAGCGAGTAAGTATATGTGAATTTAGAACTTTAGTGAGCGTAAAGCTACTTTGAAAAATCTACAATTCAACTGTAGGCCTACACGTATTGAGTCTTAGAATCATGCATCACTGGCCCTCCCTCACCATGAATTGTAATACACCATGACCTTCGCAATACGACATCTCATTTATAATGTTCACCATTATACCGTCTGTTGAAGAGACCCAAGTGTTGCTGTTCCCATGCCAGCGCTCGCTTTGCAGCGTCCGCTGGCACTGAGATATGTCACACTGGTGAATTGATCGTGTGACGTTGACGGTCACGGTCCTGTCTGCGAGCAATTTGTGAGAGTCCTGCTTAACGACCAGTCAGCGCTCAGGTACCAGTCTGGCGCAACAGACAATCATGCAGACTCGTGGACCAGTTTCTAACGCTGATATATTGAATGTAAACTAATAAATCAAATCGAAAATATTGTTTAGGCCAGTATGACTCAAGCAAATGTGTTGTTTATTTTCATCATGGATTGAGACCAGACTGTCTCATTCCGAAATATATTTGATAAGTGGAAATAGATTATATGTTATATTAGCTCTTCTAACATCAGCGTGTTTTAATTCCAAGAAAAGCAAAATTACATAGAATTATAACAAAATGCGCATGCAAGGTGCAAAGCAGCAGCAGCAGCGCTCATTATTATGGGACGAGTTGCATTGACTGGCTCACCGCGCAAGTGGCGTTATTCCCACGGACTGTGCCTCTATTGCCTCGTGTTGCAGCTTGCGGCGAGGCGCAAGACCCATAGCCTACATTAAAATAAAATAAAATATCCTTCAAGTAACAAAGTGACCCCCTCCATCTCAATCTGAATGGGGGTTTCCTATAGACTCCGACCAGTCAATATTTCAGGTACCAGCGTAATTTGTTGTGAGGTGTCTGACAAACACCCTCTTTGACGCTCACTGTGAGGCCACACTGCCTTTATTCTGACACCAGTTTTCCCATAATAAAACCATACTTGCTGTCATAAGTGGGCTGTCGGTCTCCTTACTGGTGCATTTATTTTTGTTCGTGGAACCACTTAGACTAAATGACTTTTATTATGGTGCTGAATACCTGAAGGATTTAAGTCGAGTTTTTCTTGCAGTATAGCCTATTTGGTATCCCATGTTGAGCACGTTTTTATGCACATTCAGAACTCGCATTAATTTATATAAGCCGATGTAACTAAGCAATGTTGCTTTAAATTCCAGGTTTATCCTTATTTTATACAATTCTGCAGTCTAGAAAAAATCAAAAAATAGCTTAATACATAAACCTCCCTTGAAAATGAAAACTATTCCAGCACACATGATTATATTATATTATATTAGAAGTAGGCTACTTTTAGATAAAGGCAGGTGAATGTGAAAACGGTAACAAAAATGTCAACGAGATTTAAAATTATGCACGTTTTGAACATTGTGCAAGTTAAGCCTGATATTTTGTGTCAGCATGCTGATGTCTGCAAAATAGGCTACCCCATGCCAATATTTAACTAGGCCTACCTTAGATAGGCCTACCTGTTGCGCTATCAGTGTTGAATATGATTGCATCCTTATCTTTGCGTGAGATCAAACAAAATGAACGATTTATCTGGAGTAGCCTATTGCCATATGTGGTACATTTCAACTCTGCACTGGACATATAATCCCACAGATCATCCCTCATCGAGATGATCACCTCTGGATAATCAATTAATAGGCTTCATTAAAGTCAACAGGTATGATGCAGTTATACAAGTGTTGTCATATCATAAGCATGTATAACCCTCTTAATGTCGTAATATAATCTCATAATTATATGATTATATGATTATATTATATTATATTATAATTATATTGAGGGATTCTGAGTGGCGCAGTGGTCTGCATCGCAGTGCTAGAGGCGTCACTACAAACCCGGGTTCGATCCCGGGCTGTTGCACGATCGGGAGTCCCATAGGGCGGCACACAGCGTCGTCCGAGTTAGGGGAGGGATTGGCCGGGGTAGGCCGTCATTGTAAATAAGAATTTGTTCTTAACTGACTTGCCTAGTTAAATAAAAAAGAATGATAATGCTACAGCTATTCTCAGTCTGGAACCTTTCCCCATTATATATAAAGAATGCACAAGACATCATCATAAGGGTTCACATTTTTACAACTAATAAAACATCCCTGTTTGTCAATAGGACAATTATTTCCAACTATTGCATATTTATAATAGACTAATTTAATATCAGAGGAATTTAATATCAGAGGAATTCAATATCATGGTTGAGCTGCAAATTTCAATATATTCATAATATTTTTTGTGGCCGTTTTGTATTGTGCTCTTTTCACCATTTTTAAAGAGAAGAGCCCTTCTTGTCATAAACTACTCGTTTACCTTGACAGAAGGTATGTTGCTGTTGAGAAGCAAGAAACGCCGCTGCTTTATCCGTAAAGTCCTCTCTTATTTTATTTTGATTGTGACAAGCGAGTGTCCACTGCTTAGAGCCAATGTGTAGGCAGAGCGGCGTCGTAAAACCTATGATTGATGAACACATCATTATGTCCGCCTGTCTAACACTAAAATGACGTTTCATTTAAATGACATACAAATGTTTGCTCTGCATTCTATGGGTTCTAATAGGAATTGGAATCCTCCAATATAGCAGGGTGGCCGAGTAATGAAGTGGTCAGACCAAAGGGCTCTACAGTTTGCTGCAGGCACGAGTGGTCGGCTATTGATTGAGGAAGGTACCTGCTTTATGTGCATGCCTTCATGAAGTGTCAGGGGTGTTATCATTGTTATCTGCTCGACCCTTTAATTAGGCTACTATCGAAATATTTTTTTGTTCACTTACACATTGTTTGTCCCAATGGATGCAAGGGTGCATTAAGTGCAAGATAAGCCTACTCAATTCAGACTATGTATGTTCTTGTATAAAGCTCGAAAAGTAGGTTTTGAATAAGAGGAAACCGATTTAGATTGCATTGACAAAAGATCAATGCGATAATTAAGACCTGTAGCCTTGGAAAGGACTCTGATGTTTATTACAATACTTGTATATCCTAATAATAATAATAGCCTACTAGTACTAATAATAACAATAATGCTATATTGTTGTGGAAGCATGCAACCAAATATGGACACTTAGGCTGCAAGTAAATCCTTTTATAATTTTATTGAATCAACATTTACTAAATCTACCGCCCTGAGTTCTCGTTGAAGGTGCGTGGGAATAATGCGATTATGTCAAAGAAAATAAAAAACACCACACTGCTCTTGCTCAAATAAAAAACTTTCACAACAGCTCTGACGAAGGCCAAGAGGCCGACACGTAGGCTAAGCTTTAATAAATACATAAAAAATGATACTTGCTTTGAAATAATTGTATTGACTAAAAGGTAGGCTACAATGTTAGGGTGGCTGCTTGTTTTGGACTTAGTCGTTGGTCCTGTAATGCTTTGTTTCCCATTTAGCCCTATGTTCGGTTTTCCATGTAGTGCAGGAGGGGGGTAAACGCTGCGCGTTAGAGAGGGGCGGGGTGGTAAGAGATTATCTCTAGGTGCACATTCGACTCCCGAGCATAGTGTATACTCAACGCTGATTGGCTGACGCTTTTGCTTAATGGCACGCGACTATGGATGTAGTTATAAGAGTCCTCGCGTGTCAGCCTTCAACTGAACTATCTCTTGAGCATCCAGAGGCAGCGCAAAGAGCAAACTTGTTGTTACTGGGCAACACGAAAACAACAGCAAAAAATGGACACTGTCTTGGATACATTTACAGGACTGGACTCCTTCTCCTCCCCTTATTTTGACGAGGATGATTTCTTTACTGACCAGTCCTCCAGGGACCACTTGGACACAGATGAGTTTCTGGATGACGATGTCGACTTTCTCACCAGCCATTTCCAAGATTACTACAAGGACAGCAGGATAGCGCACGATGGGGACTACTGTGAAATTGGCAACTTTTCCTTCTCTTCCTCCTCTTCTACCTTCTCGTATGAATGCACTGACAGCACCTCAGAGCTGTCACCTCAGATGGGAGGAGATGTCCCGATGCTAAAAAGGCGGAGGCGGATGAGGTCCGATATGGAGATGCAACATTTACGGCAGGCTGCTAACGTCCGGGAGCGGCGGAGGATGCAGTCCATTAACGATGCTTTCGAGGGACTCCGGTCTCACATCCCCACTCTACCATACGAGAAGAGGCTCTCCAAAGTCGATACTCTGCGCCTGGCCATTGGCTACATCAACTTCCTCGCTGAGCTCGTGCAGTCGGACATGCCCATCCGAAACTCCAACAGTGACGCACCGACTCAACCCAAAAAAGTTATAATTTGCCACAGAGGAACAAGTAAGTATTTCATATAATTAGATAATGATAATGACTTAATTTTGGACTGTATTGTTACTCATTTGTTAAAGACTTGGTTCGTTACTAATAATGTGTCCCCTTCTCAGGATCTCCGTCTCCAAGTGACCCTGACTACGGGTTGCCTCCCCTTGCCGGCCACTCTCTGTCCTGGACAGACGAGAAACAGCTGAAAGACCAGAACATCATTAGAACCGCTAAAGTCTGGACACCCGAGGACCCACGGAAACTGCACATGAAACCCTCCATGAACAACATTGAAAACGAGCCTCCTTTCAGCTTAACCTCAGCCCAATAAATGTTATATTTATGTCTAAAAGTATGTATTTTTATACACACATTGTAAATCCATGTTAATATATAACGTTGTCTGTAACGTTGATTATTTACGTGTAAATATGTATTTGTCAATGTTCTCCTAATTAAGGCAGCTGGCAATCATCTTATACGTAGCAAAATGTATTTAATTGTTTTCATGATAATAAATGTTTTAATTTAACATTGATGAATATACGAAAACCAAACTATTTTTATAATAAATTGTCAAATAATATTTATATTTATATGCAATCTGAGAATAAATGTATCATAAATGATGAATACATTGTGTTGTATGGTCTATACCACTTTCCTCCACATAGGCTCATGCTCACATTCAAGACATTTCATTTTTAACTCCAAGTGGTGAAGATAATATTCATGCTTAACAACAGTGCAAAAAGCAATCAACATGCATAAATCAATCAATCAACGTGCATGAATCAATCAATCAACTAAAGTTATATTTTAGAACGTGGTTGTTCACCTGAAAGTCAGTGATATCCAGCAGTGTAAGTTTAAATACATGACATATTGGGCCTCTCAACCCAACCCGCATATGCATATACTTAATGAGCAAATAGTCATTCTACTGGGTATCTGATGATGGAGACTGATAACTCCTTTTCTAGAGGACGACGTTTTATAAAGCTGTGGCCTGCATGGGTCTTAGTACTGTAACTTATATACACCCACAAACTTCATTTTAAAAAAAAACGATTTTGGGTATGCAAAGCAGATGTAAATGAAAACAAACATGCAGATACAATTCAATGGCTTAAAATGCCAGGGCCTGCAGCTATAAACCATAGTTGTACTATGTTGGTCTACTATATTGTTTAAAGGGGCATGACTAAACGGATGGCTTGCTGTAAAAGCTGTTTGCATCAATGTGCTGCAGGTGCTTCAAGGCAAAATTTTCCCGTGGTAGCGGCATCCTTCCAACGTGTTCCCTTGCCATTTTTACGTCAGCTCTCCCCCATTTATGTAGTGGTAGCCCAGATATATGCCTATGCCCAAACATGCAAACACACATTCATTCAACCATCTGGCTAAGAGCATTTCGGATAACACTTGCATTTCGGATGGGGAAAAGAGAAAGGTATATTCATTTTCTGTATTAGTCTTTGCATTTCGATTATTTTCTTCTTCCTAGTATTATTATTATTACTATTATTATTACTATTATTATGATGCATAGTTCTCGTATTATTGTTATAGATATTATTATTACCCTACTCGAATTTGTTCCTAAATAATGAGATATGTGCTTTTTTCTAACTTGAAACTCTCCAGTTCAATATTTTGACAAGTTTTCAGTGCATGTGCTTTTTAGGAATCTCAGTGGACCTATAATCCCATCTCTTATTGTATTCTGCCTCATTAACAACGCAGTTATCCGCGTCCTAGACAGCACACAAGAGACCATGTAATCTCATTACATTCATTAGAAAGTCAAATGTTCGCAAGTCAGCCTTAAACTTAATAAAGGACCCAGAAAGTCTTGTAGCTGGTCTTCATCTATTTTGTCGGGGGCAACATTTACATTTAATTTGGTGAAGTGGCAGAGAACAATAAAACAACAGTAGCATCATTGTTTGGTCGCACCTAATGCTATTGAGCGATTGTGGTTTTGTGTGCAAGCACAGTTCAAAACCCCTCAAAACATCCTTTGGTGCAATACCAATCAAGCGGAAGGGAAGGGCTTAAGCAGTGAAACACTTGGGTCTCTATCTTGTCACTCTTGTGCTTGGTCTTGGCAAAGGCTTAAAAGAGCACCATTTACAGGCTGACAGGTTTTATTCCTTTTCTTACCCGGCTAAACATTGGAAAACCATGCCAAGCTCCAATTTGGTTCAGAATAAGTTAGTGAAACTGAAAAGGCTTGCAATTCCCTATAGCATTTGGGTAGCCGTTGACTACCTGTTGCAGACTGGCGGAGGTGCTTTAGCATGCAAGGCAAGTTTATGGTCAGTAAATGTGTCACAAGCCATAGAAAACAGCCGTATGTTATTAGCGCGGTAGTCGTTTAGACCCAAGTAGTTCCACGGTGTCTGTCTGCCCTCTTGGCAAAAAGAAAAATACGAGGTTTATGGATGTGTTATGACATTGTCCACTGTCAATTATATCGACACTCTTCATAATGAACACGTGTTTGTGTATTTTTTAAAATGATATATAACCTATTGTTACCATTTAAAAGTTGTTGCAAAAAAATTGAAATTACGCACAAGGGTGTCCATGACCAAGCGCAGCCCTATGCGCATCCGTTTGCATGCAACTCAGCATAAATTGTAGAAGATCAAAGATATGAAGAAATATATAACAAACTGCTGTGATAGGTTAATAGTGACAACAAGTGAGAATTACAAATAATTAGGCTATATTGGAAAACCAACCACTAAGAATATTATTTCATGAAAGTAGGCTACATTATAATATCCAACACATTTCAGTCATATCTCTATTAATCAGATGAAAGTAAAATGGTTAAATGCATTATATTCATCGTCTATAATTCTACAATAATCCCCAGATAAGCGTATGGTAAGCACTGGGAAGGACGCCTAATACGATTCTCATAAACTGTAAATCTGCTCATACTTTGGATTATCGCGCATAAAAATATGGCCTCAGAGTCTGTAAATCCCCCGAACTCCCGCGTTTTCATTAATGTATCTCCACGGTGGCATCGGGGTACCAGCTGCGAGGTTGAGGTTGAACAAACACCAGTTGAGGCTGCCCCATGGGCAGTGTAAACCTCGTGGGTAGCCTTTTAAATCCTGTTGCACCAAGCGCCAAAATGTTCAAATGGCCCAAAATTGTGATTGAAAAACATATGCACATACCAGTGATAATTCAAAAGAGATTATTGTGGTAGTCTGGATGTTAGGACTTGGCTAGCCGACAGGTGTTACACTGGATAGAACCAAAAAGGGTTCTATTGCTTGCTTCATATATGACACCCCTAAAGGTTCTATATATAACCCTTTTGTAGGGTTATTTGATCATAACCCCATGGGTTCTTCTCACTGAACCAAAATTGTCTCTATATAGAACCCTTCGTATATGGAACCCAATTTCGGTTCTATATAGAACATTAAGGGGTGCCATATATGAAGCAAGCATAGAACCCTTTTTGTTTCTATACAGAATATTTTTTTCTAAGAGTGTAGGACTTGGCCCGGGGATATGAGTACAGAGAGACCCAAGGAGGGGAGGGCGAGGTTGCCAGAGAACGCGCTGCCCAGGCGCCTCTCCTTTTACATGGCGTGGAGGCGCTTTACAATCCAAATTATATCTTTATTACTCACATGTCCTAGGCAGTAACATATCCATCCCCGTTGAGGTTCTTATAGGATGCACCTGGTATTTCAAACTTGTTATTTTTGTGCTTCTGGGTCCTGGACAGCAGCTGCTTAAAACAAGCAAAGAGAGAGGTCCTTACAATGTCTCCAAGACGTGTTGGCATGGTTTTCTCGTCTTTAATGTCCCAAACCATTGTCTAAATACAATATGGGAACTGTAAAGCATGACGTTTTGTTATAATTAAACACATTTTCAATGATACACTTGGATTGAAAGCTTTATTACGATCCAGCAAACATTCAATCTCGTTTTGTCCCCCCGTCTATCTGCAGGCAATTAGACTGCGGCCTTTTGCTGGGCCTTGATAAGCCAATTAAATTTATGTCTGCTAATTTTTCAAGTAGAAAAAAGGACTTAGAGCTAGGCTGGCTCCTAAGGACATTGATTTTCTTACCATCACCTGGCGTTCAAACAGGTTCCATTTACCAACAAGGAAAATGTCAGGCGTTTCATTTGGCGACTCTTGTTACCATAAGGCTCTCTCCATCCTGCGCCATTGTTTTCTCCTGTTAATAACTCATTACCAGGATTTTACAAATCCTCCATTACATATGTTTTGTCTCCATATTTTGATCCGTAAGATTAAGCAGATGTTACGATTGAAAATGGAAAACTCCAGGGCTACTCCTGTCTGAAAGGAAGAGGCGGACTCCGCGCTGAGCTAACAAAGAGGTTGGGGAGATCTTCAGAAAAACATTTACGACCAATAAACAGACTTCAACCTGCTCTATTTCAACCATTGTGGGGTTTTTGAATAATTAAGGTTAATAGGAATAGGTTTGTGTACTTTCAATGCCAAGACCACAGGTGCGGGGTGACATGATGAATGATGTGCCTGATTTTTGCCAAGCTCGAGGGCCCTTCTCTTGGACTTTCAAGCTGATAGAAAATATTGTCATTTCTTTAATTCACAGCATTACTTTCATTCAGGACAAAGCAGGTTGATGAAAAGCTTATGCTGTAATGAAACAAGCTATGGTGGTCGCTTTGCTTCCTGAAAGAAAGGGCGAGTCAATGCCCAGGCGCGCTTTGGTTTGTGCGCAAGTACTCCATCTAAAGCAAATAAAGGACCCTTTCCAACTTTTAAAAGACCGCGTTTTACCTTTATTAAAGCTTCCACGGCTAAATCCATTAAGCATATGGTTCTAAGGCACAAGTCTTTTGTACTGGGGAAGCCCTCGAGATGGTAACTTGTGTGTTTTAGGGGATATTTAACTTCTCAATAGACAAACTTGATCGAGGCAACAAGTGTCCCCAGTGCGCGCGAGTACAATATGGTGCAAGGTGGTGCAAGGTGCAAGGTACATTTGCAACCTTCCCTGAAAAATGAACACCAGTTAATGATGAAAAATATCGTACGCCTAACTGTAGACCCAAAGGGAGGAAAATAAATACTCCAAAATCAGTGACCGTTTTGCGCATGGAGCTATATCCACGGCTATGTATGGATAGGTGAATGTAAGGGTGCTAATGGGGAGCTTCTCTGTTATTTTACGCCCAGAACGATTCTAGACTTAAGTACCCACATGTCTTGTACTTGGTCCTTGTTCGTCAATTGTTCGTTAGTTGCTAACTATTTCAGTTATATAGGCTTTGGTTAGCTAACATTAATTTCCTATACGCAGCAGTAGTAGTGTCAAAGTTACTACATATTACAATAGTCTATAGCCAAAAAAAGTATTTTAATTATGGAGGGTTGGTATTTTAGTTCATGTCATTATAGGTTTATGATGGTTAAATAA